AAGGTGATGAGGTTGAGTAGGATGAGAGGGGAATGGTAGATGGTGGAGATTTAGGGGGCTGGGTTGTAGGGCTCGTTGGGAGATTGTGTACTTTACTTGACTATACTCCAAGCTTTTGGGGGTTGGGGTTGGGGTTATACTTGGTGTATAGTCTGGAAATATATCTCTTTATAGTTACAAGTTGGTTGTCTGCTGCAGTGGCGGTTATGTCAGGAACATTTTATGTGCATTGCTAATGCATGACTATTTAGTTTAGTGAATATCTGGATTGTTGAGTGCTATGTATTACTATGTAGAAGTTGGCCGGATCAGGTAGGGCTGGTACCGACTGACTCTCTTTTTGACTTACAAGCACTCATACAAATGTATACTGTGTATGGCCAAAGCTGCCGATCCCACTAAGAATAAATTAACGGCAGTCTAGACCGCCCACCACTCCTTCTAGCCAATCCGCACGCTGGGCTGGGCCAACGCCACGCGATCTTCCCCCATTACGTCACGCCACGATCCGGATTCCACCCCTTGGCATGCCCCATTGTCAAGTTGACATTTAACGGACTCTAACACAATGCCCAAGACGGGCATGATTCATGTTTCTGTTAATGATGGATTAGTTCAGGAAACACTAGGAGGAGTCTATTGAGTCCACAATTGAAGAGATAGAAGGGTTTGATCCTACGCATATGTAAAGTACATGTACTACCTGAGTATCCACTACACAGCTGTAGAAGTTGGTCGGTAGCAGACTGTACCCAATGCATACGTATCCACGCCCGCCACCAGCTGAATATTCAGACACCCTGCTCGATACGTCACCATCGACCTGTAAAACCGGCGGGCGGGACCTCCAATTAAACTCGTGGGCACGGGCACTCTGGGTGGCTACGGTGGCTTGATCAATTCTCCGAGATGTGAAAAGTGGAGCCGCCCATGATCTCATCCGGCCCCAGCGAAACACCGGAATCCATGTCTTTGTTCGATGACAGTGACAGCCAGGTACTGAGTTGACTGACAGGGGAGGGAGACAGGGACTGCACCACTGCTGCCGAGTGGAGTCCCTCTTGGAAAAAGGATGGTATGTATGCACATACAACAGTTAGTTCAGTTATAGCAAAGTAACTGCAGCAAAGTGAGAATCACCTCAGAGGATTCTCTTGAAGCCACCCACCCTTTTATACTACCGCTCATGCATGCACTCCTGCACGCTGATGTCGCTGCCGCCCCCGTCCGTCGAAGGAGCAGCTGGGATCCCGTCCCGCTGCCCTAACACGATATACACATGGTAGAGTACATCTCACAGTCATCGGCCCTCATCCCTGCACAGCCTGACGCAATGATGATTGTGTGTCGACCTCCTCGCACCCATCGCAATGCTTCCTCCCCCTCCTGAACCCCGAGCCAGTTTCGTATCCTCGGCCGAGCAAGTGGATCCGCGATGATGAAAAAGTAAACGAGTCCGGCATTTACACCCACTCCACTTTTGCTACAGTACAGTACCCCTCCCCTCTCCACTCCACTGCACTCCAGCCCTTCTTCCTCCACCCCGTACCCTGTAATGCAGTATGTTCCTGTCTCCGTGCCCTCTCCACTACCCACTCACCCTGCAGAACCGCGACGATGTCACCGACACTAGCACTAAGAAGATCCCTGCAGCCCACCCCACCCCCCCCCCCCCCCCCCCCCCCCCCCTCGATGTGACGCGTAGGGCTTACAGGTCGAACTGGCGTAGCCCGGCAGCACAACGCTCGTAGCGCATGACGTAGGTGGATAGCCCTTCGAACTACACGCATCGACATCATCAGCGTCCTCCTCGTCACGATACACAAGATGCAACATAAAAGGGGGAGGGACGTCAGGAGTCGCTGGGAGTGGAATCTCGATTCATAATTGTTCTCTTTCGCACTTGACTCAAACCCCCATCCACGACTTGTATATTAGTTTACGGTTCACGACTCCCTACTTCCCTACACCTAATTACGAAGCACAACTGTACGAGGATTTGACACGATACGATACGATACGATACGACTGCCTTCGCTTGTTTGATTCAGGACTGGAGGTTCTAGCAAGCACAATTACTACTACAACCACTACTTTATAGTATAACAGCTACGAGATTCGGGATCGACGCGCAGTTGCCTGTTCGAGACCACTGCCCTATACCACCTGACAGGCTATCCAACGCACCTTCCTGTTTCGCTCAACTGTACCTGTACCATCACACAATCACACACAACCTACCATTCACTATCCATTGATCATCGCTCTACTCCTCATCATGTCCTCCCCCTTCATCAGCAAAGTCTCCAAGCTGAACCTCAGCCCCGACTCGCGCAAGGGCACGCCCCCCAAGCTCCGCCGCGAGCAATCCGGCGCCACCGAGAAGACCGAGGACGATCCCAGCGTGCCCACCACCCCGACCCCGAAGGGCAAGGCCTCCGCCGCGCGCCACCAGTCCGAGCAGCGCGACTCGCCCGTCCCGGCGCCCAAGGACGCTCCATCCCAGGCCTCGGCCTCGGCCTCGGCGTCGGGCTCCCGCGCCCAGAGTCGCGCGGGCCGCACCGAGAGTGAGGCCGGGCAGCCCCAGGAAGAACAGCCTCAGGAGGAGGGCCAGGAGGAACAGCAGGAAGAAGAGAATGGGCAGGAGCAGCCGACTCCGAGTCTGAACGGCGGGCTGACCGAGTCGCACCCCGAGCATCTCGACCTGTCCGTCCTCAAGGGCCTGGAGGTCGGCGAGGACGGGCTCATCCACGACCAGGACGGGACCGCGATCGGTCGGCTGGTCGAGGGCAAGCCCGAGGATCTGGTCGGGTATACCGTCGGCGACAACGGGGAGATCCTCGACGAGGATGGCGACCTGATCGGGGTGGTCGATGTGCTGGCGGAGGCGTTCCAGAACCAGCAGGATGGCGTGGACGCCAGCCAGGTTGATGGGCAGGATGAGGACCAGGAAGAAGCAGAAGAGGAGGGCCAGCATGAGCAGACCAATGGAATTGTCGATCACGCGGCCGACACCGTCGGTCAGGCGGCGGATACCGCTACCGCTGCGGTCGGCAATGTCGCGGATCTGGCGGGCAAGGCTGTCTCGGAGTCCGGCGATATCAAGGATGATGCCGGCCAGACGGTCGGGAAGCTCGTCGAGGGCGAGCCCGAGGAGCTGGCGGGCAAGGTGCCCAACGACCAGGGCGAGATCCTCGGCGACGACGGTGACGTTCTTGGTCGCGTGGATGTCGCTCCTCAGGAGGCCGTGGGAAGTGCCGCCGGCTCGAGCAAGGCCGCTTCCCGTGAGTCGGGCGAGGAGGCCGAGCAGAGGGCCAGCGTCGCTGGTACGGCTGCCTCCAAGGCGACGGGCTCTGCTGCCGGTAGCGCGGCCGACAAGTCCAAGGCCGCTTCCGGAGCTCAGCCTGAGGATGACCAGAGCACCGTCGGCCCCAAGTCGACTGCTGATAATGTTTCGGCTGAGGAGCTCACCCCTGAGGATGCCGTTGGCGAGAAGCCTGAGGCTTCCGACGCCGACGAGGCTAAGGGGACCGTCGCTGAGAAATCCGAAGCGCCTGGTACGGAGGCTGACGAAGCCAAGGAGACTGTCGCCGAGAAGTCCGAAGCGCCTGGCTCGCAGGCTCCAGGCACCGAAGCTGCTGGCACTGAAGCCGACGAGGCCAAGGAAACCGTCGGTGACAAGTCCGAGGCCCCTGGCTCTGAAGTTGCTGGCACCGAGGCTGAGGGTGAGGCCAAGGAGGCCTCCGAGGAGGCTGCTGAGGCGGCAACCGAGGGTGTCCCTGAGAGCGCCCCTGGAGATGCCGCCGAGGAGAAGTATGAGACCGCTCAGGAAGAGGTCCCTGAAGAGGGCCCTGAAGAGGCGACTGAAGAGGCAGCCGAAGAAGGCACCGAAGCGGAGAAGGAGCTCCCCCCTCTCTCCTCCCTGGAGGGCCTGCGCTGCAACAAGCTGGGCAAGATCATCAACCCAGCCACCGGCAAGCCCGTTGGTGAGTTGATCGAGGGTGATGCGAAGAAGCTTGCTTCTCTCGGCGCTCAGCTTGACGACAAGGGCCAGTTCTGGGACAACCGCGGCAACGTCATCGGCCGAGCCCAGACCCTCGCTCCGGAGGAGTACCCCGATGAGCCTCCTTTCGGCGGCTTGGAGGGCCTGCACGTCGTCGAGGACGGCTGGGTCGAGGACCAGAACGGCAAGCGTGTCGGCAAGATCGTCGACGGCGACGCCAAGAAGGTCCTGGGCCGGCCCGTTGACGAGGACGGTGATGTGACCGACAAGCACGGCAACGTTATCGCCAAGGCGGAGTACTACGAGACTCCCGACGAGGAGCCCGAACCCGAGCCTGAGACCATCGACCTCTCCAGCCTGGAGGGTCTCACCCCCAACAAGCTCGGCTATGTGATCGGCCCCAAGGGCGTCCCCATCGGTCGGGTCGTCGAAGGTAACCCCAAGGAGCTGGCCGGTAAGGAGATCCACGATGGCCAGATCTATGACGGCCCTAAGCCCATTGGACGGGTCGAGCTGATCCCCGAGAACGAGCGCGAGAAGAAGCCCGAGGGACCGTTTGCTGGTCTGGAGGGCCTTGTGGTCAACAAGGAAGGATTCGTTGAGGACGAAGAGGGCAACATTGTCGGTAAGGTGACCGAAGGTGATGTGAAGAATCTGCGCGGCCGGGCTGTCGACGAGGATGGAGACATTATCGACAAGTTCGGCAGCGTCAAGGGTCACGCGGAGCCCTACGAGGTGCCCGAGGAAGAAAAGCCTGAGGAGGTGGACCTTTCCATTCTGGAGGGCAAGGTCGTCAACAAGGCTGGCAACGTCGTTGACGGGCAGGGCCGGGTTTTCGGTCGTGTCGT